ATGGCCATGTCACCAAGCTTGGAGGTGGTACATATCTTGGACACAAAACCATGAGCCTATTCTGAAGAGTGGCCAGAATTCAGGAAGAAATCAGAAATTTAGGAAGATAGGAGGTGTTGCCCATGGATAAGGAAAGCCTCAGTCCATTTATAAATTGGGCAAAATGAATGTTGGAAACTTTCTACTAGACAGGACACATCCATTGATGCATTTTCTTGTCTAATGTCTACAACCACGGACACAGTGGGATACACAGACCTAGCAACACTCGCCTTTTCAAAAGACTTGCTAGAAACAGTCCACTTCAAACCAAACAAACCGCCTTTCCTAGCTCTTCTGAGAACATGAGAATAAACCACAAACTCACACCCACACCCACAAAGCCACCTCCTTCCCCGAAAGAGTTCTGTTACTACCCACAGTGTCCTTTGACGGGTGGGCCATACTATGTTCCCCCGAAATTGTCTGTCCTGTCTCAGATTTGGCCTCTTTGGCAAATTCTGTGAAGTTTTCAGGAGCCAGGGGTTAGCCACTACCTGCTTTCTCAGGAAAGACCCCCTTCAGAGCTTTCCTGGCAATTAGCTATCCTCACATCTGTAGATAACAAGAAAGACTGACTCTGTCCTTGGTAAATCCAAACAAGTGAGCCCAATGGGACTGACACTGGGACTGCCTCTGGGTGCCTGGCTTCCTGGATCCCAAGTTCAGAAAGTTCCATCACCAAGGAAGTGTGGTGAGGTCACTTCCTTCAGGAAATGAATGAGGTCACTGCCTTGGAAACCACTTTGTCCTAACTGTTGCTTCTACGGGGCCCATGAGATTGAGGCTGCCCCTACTTCCTGTGACACTTTCACAAGTTAGAATGGTATATCAACCGTAGGCACCTAGGAAAAGCTCTCCACGCAGGCCTGGTTTGGTCCATCTTGTCTACATTAAGAAGAGAGAGGCACATTCAGACACATCCCTTCATCCTGACCAGGTTGTTTGCCACGGAAGATGACTTTGCTCTCTCAGGTCCTTCCTAGCTGCCTACATCTTCTCCAGGGATCATTTCTGCATGGACCTTTGAGGTTCTCAGCAGGTGGAAGAT